CCCCAAAACCCCAAAACCCCAAAACCCCAAAACCCCAAAACCCCGAGAAACCAATAAATGGTTGAATTAGTGGAGATAATAAATTCAATGCAATTTACCCCATTCTTTTAATCAAAGTAATATCCATTGTCTTGGCTTCTTTGAGGTTATATCCATGATTTTTGACTGAGGAGAATACTTCGCACAACTTTTCAAACTCTTCTGTGGTATATTTCTTGAAGAAGTCCCTGATCGCTTGATATGTAAGTAGTTTATGGAGAAATTCTACATTAGCATCGTCATCATCAGGATCCCACCTTTGATCTAGGTCCCCTATTTGCATCAAAAACATTGGGCATCTTTTAGGATTTGTATCCCAGTCTTCATTATGACTATGTATTCCTTCATTAGGATCAAGTTTATCCAAATCATCTTCCTTTTTACCACAGACATATCACCAATTAGTTCCTCAACTATCACATATCATATGAGTACAAGCTTCATCCTTCCTTCCCCCAATCTTACACCCCGGTCAGTGTCTTTTCGTAGCCATTTCCATTGCTTTTTCCCATTCTTCCTTCATAAATTTGTACTCAAGTCATTTCTGATGAGCAATCATCCCTCCTTCAGCTTTCATTTCTTCATATTCCTCTTCATCTACTTCGAAATCTTCTGGAACCTAAAGGAAAGGAATCAATTATAGAAGAGGCAATGTCTGGCTTTAAAACTAGGCTCCATTTCAATGGAAAATTGCTTATCTAATCAGTATTTCTCATTCTATCAGCCCTCTCATATTTATATGCATTGAGAGGCTTATATCTGTCGGAATATTTCTTGACAGACTCAAAGTTCTCAGTCTCCTAAGTCACAAGGGAGATAATTATGAAAACGATCTTCCAAATTTTTATCCAAATACAAACATTTATTTACTTGATTTTCAAAATTTTGCAAAGTCTGATTATAGTATTCCACCATCCAACATTAGAGGAAGTTTTACGAATCGTCATATATTTCTAAACCTAATACAAGATTCTTAGAGCATTCTTATGGTTCAGATAAAAGCTTAGGAAATGCAGTGCTAGTAATTACCTTAAATTCTTTATTTACAAACAGAGCAACTCCCTTTCTTGCATTTCTCTCCTAGTCAGTAAAAGTAGTTTGAATAATTCTGAACATCCCAGATCTCAAGGTATGGGCAAAACGGGCACTCCATAAGCACATCAGTTTTAGGATCGAGTGCTTTCATGATCTAAATTTATTAGATTTAGTTTTAGTAATGTTAATACTCAAGCGAACAATCATCTATCATCAATAAGAGACAAATTGCACATTAAAATATTTAGAATCTCGCTTCGGATAAAAAGGGTCTTTCAATCTTCAACAAAAAAGTCTGAAATTTTGATACAGAAATAACTATCTAAAATAAAGAAGAAATATTATTGGGACACTTACCTTATAAATATTGTAGAGCTCGAGCTGTCCAGGAGCCATGTGCATTTCAAGTTGGACTGTATTAATCTCAAGGTTGCAGGTACTACATTTAGCTGGAATGTTAACTTCAGGGTTTGATAAAATATTATCTATAAAAGATGCTCAACACTCCGGACACACATCATGGCCTTGGCTGCACTTAATACCTCCATGGTCTCTCTTTTTCTTTCCTTTTCAAATAGTACATTCGACACGAGTGTCTTTTTTATCAGATTCCATTTTCCAATATTTAACTCAACCTACCCTAACTTTTATGGGGTTTTGGGGTTTTGGGGTTTTGGGGTTTTGGGG